CACGCACATGCACATACACATAGAGGGTTGTGACAATATGCGTCTGTGCAACTGCTGCAACACAAAACGTATACAATACAGTGCCTCACAATCATTTGTGCGCAACTGAGGCAATAAATAGCCCTTCTCTGTGATGCGAGGACCGCGGAATTATGAAAAACATACGGGCAATAAGTATGTGAAATCGCTAGTACTCATCCAGATGCAGAAGCAACAAGTTCGGGGCAGCAATGTCAAGTACCTCTATCTTGAACTGCTTGACTTTCGCGAAGCTATCCACTACAAAAGGGCGCATAATTTGTTTAAAAAGAATGGTGACGTTGTTAGAGACACAGTGCCGCTCTGGTCAAATCCAAAAGCAACAGAGTTTATAACTGTAAATTTACATACTTGGCAAGCTGAGCGTTAACCCATCGTAATACCACTTTCTCCACAGGGGCTTTCAGACGCCCAATCCGCAATCGGTGCGGTAATTTGCTGAAGGGGCTACTTTTCTCTTCATCGGTTTTGGATGTAGATGGACTAGTTACTTCCAGTTCAAAGCCCCATTCCTTTAGTAACTGAATATTGTTTTCAATCTGCAAAGGAGATTCGAGTAAAACAAAACTTTTAAAAACTGACAGACCTAATACCAAACAGGACGAATCCAAAAGCTCCGAGAAATCGAACAGAAGAAAACGATGGTGCTTGCAGAATAGTTAAATTGAAATATTCGGAAAAGGCAGATTTAAAAAAAAAGACATTTCTGTAGTTTGGAAACAAAAGCACCGTCTATGCATTACGTTTGCTGGACTGCCTTAAACGAATTTAAACAGTGATGTGCTTACCTCGAAATGAAGAATAATCTGCCATATGAGCCCAAGGACAATTCGAGGATTGCCATCGGCTATGTCAGTTGGATTATTGTTGACCAAGTCCAGGCCGCGGCGTCGAAGCGCTGATAATGCTGTTGTTAAATTACTGATATGATGCACTCGCTTTGAAACCTTTGTCTTGTTGACTGGCTGCAACACACGCATCACTGCTTTCGTCAGATGTGGTGGGTCTCTGGCCCCTTGGGAGAAAACCCGGAATGCAACTGGTATAAGCGGTATGGCGAGAGGTATCATCAGCAAATGATAAGCTGAAAAGTAACAAAAGGACAGGCAACTCACTACAAATATTCAATCCCAAAAAATCTGTCTTAATGCATGGATGCTCGCGTTTCATTAGCTGACGCCCTGTCAAATGTGTCGTCACATACTGCTTGGAGAAGCTTCTGCGCAGCACAGTTAGCCTGGCCGACAGGACTTAACTTTCTGCAACAAGTGGCCGCAAGCGCAA